AAGATCACATTTTGTCGAAATTTCACATACGCATAAGTATACGACAGGTAACTTTACACTACAGGTAGATAAAGTTAGAAGTAAAAGAGAATAATTAAATTACTTTTACAATAATATAAAACTCCTACGTAAAATCTAAAACTGAGATGCAATATTGTATATGTAATTATTTTTTGTACTAATAAGCATTTCATGATTATGATACGATAAAACTTTAATTTGATAAGTTAAATGGTATGTGAAATGAGAAGGCAAATTTTTTGAACAATTTTCGATAAATTTTAGAGATTAAAGAAAAAGATGGGATTTTTATTTGGTACACGCAGAACTGAAATTAATGACGTGAAGGATAAGTGTAACAATCGAATACGTAAAATATTAAGAAATTAATGTGTTTTCACAACTATACGATTGAATGCATTGGAACGATATCAAAGAAACAATTCGTAAGCGTGAGTGTTTTACGTAACTAAAAGCACATTGATTTTAGATGATTGTCCGGTAAACAAAACACTTTAGAGGTTTACGCTTACATTTCCACGTACGTCCGTCATTAATTACACACCACAGCAAAATTTGTATATACTTTCTGGAAAAATGCTTAAATGATTTCAATCAATGCGGTCTCTACACCATCAACAATAAGTGCCACTTCAGCCACTTCACACACACACACACACACACACACACACACACACACACACACACACACACACACACACACACACACACACACACACACACACACACACACACACACACACACACACACACACACACACACACACACACACCACACCACCACACACACACACACACACACACACACACCCACACCCACACACACACACACACACACACACACACACACACACACACACACACACACACACACACACACACACACACACACACACACACACACACACACACACACACACACACACACACACACACACACACACACACACACACACACACACACACACACACACACACACACACACACACACACACACACACACACACACAGAGATATGGACACACCGAGACGAACATACATATTCGTACACACAGGCATACACGCACATGTAATAGACATACGCATACACGGAAATACACGCATGTAGGAGCGTGACTTCCTGGATGAGCTGTGAGGTCAGTGTATTAGGAAAGGGCGGTAACTATGGTCAGAGGTCACTTTGCATATTGCAAAGGTCAATTTACCCTTTCATTCATTCAAACGCCAATCTATTTTGAATAGCGATTACAAAAATTTCAATTTTCACAGAAATAAGAACATAATTTTCACTAATTTAGATATAATTTGAACAAAAATAAAGAAGAGATGAAATTCAAAATGATTTTCAATTATGAAATATTGTAAACAAATATTAGAATAAATTACTTACTGTTAATTCAATCGTATTAAATATACAAATTATTATTAAGTTATTGTTAACAAAAAAAAAAGAGAGTTGCGCCTTCTTAAGATTTTATAATTTTTGATCAAATAAGAAAGTTATATTAGAAAAAAAGAAGCTAAAAAATTTTTTGCCTATTTCCAAAAAAGTTTAACGAATAATTTTGCCTGTAAAAATTTCCAAAGCACTGTTGAAGTGAAGGTGAAAAAAGTGGCCCAGCAAATAAACTTATAGCTGTTGCTAAGAAATCTTTTGAAATTTATCATTTTTTTCTTGCTTTTTACATTCATAACAGCATTTAGTCATTTAAGAGAAAAAATTTAGTCTTAACAATAACAATAAGATCTAAGCAAATAAGGCTAACGATAACAATAATCTCAATAAGGCTTTTACAGAATTAACAACAATGACAAATTTACTTTTCTCTCTTTAACACAATTTGGTTCATAGAAAAACACATAAATTAAAAATTATTTTAGAATTAGATTTTAATTTATTCATCGCTAATTTATTGTATTTCGAACTTATTTGTTACTGAAAACTACCATTTACGTCATTTTTTTTTGAAAATATTCATAATTGTGTTATATTTGATTTTGATTAATTTTCCAACAATACTGTAAAGTGTAAAATAAAGTTCAACGATAGATCTTTAACATTTTTATAATAATTAATTCTTTGAAACAAAAGAAATTGACAGAAAAAGATGATTAAACAATAAAGGAAAGAAGTAATTACTATTATGTATGTAATTAAGAGTTATGCAAACGAAATTGCACCTTTTAATTATAAATTTCAAATTATTATTGTTAAATGCAAACTCAAATTGACTGATTAAAGTATGAAATTTCTAAATGATCAAACAATGCAGAATTTCAAGTTTGAATATAACTTAAAATTTAAGGTTAAAATGGTAGGTGCTAATTTATGTGGCATAGAAATTATTATTATTTTATTTTTTTTTTTTTTTTTTTTACAAACTTTTAGGAATAACTTTTTTTGCATTCTATTTAATTACAAGTATTTTTACTACAAAATATTGAGATGCATAATGGAATAAATGAATATAATTTAGATAAGATAAATTTTTAGAACTCAAATTGCTTAATTTTTAAAACAGTTTCTGACAAAAAATATGGAAAATATCTGAATCATTTTTTGTTATCCAATACAAATTGTAGGTATTGTAATTATCGAATATATCTGATCAAAACTTTTCAAATGTAATAATAATTTCGTTAGGCTTTAAATAATTGTAATTGTATGAAATTAGCAGACAGTAATTATAATGACCTCAAGCTGACCTCTTTGGTGTTCTCGGAAGGGTTTTTGGGCTTTTTGGAATTTCTTGTCAAATAAATATCACTGAGATGGATTTATCTTCAGATTGTCAAAATAATCAATTAAAATTTTATTTTCGTTCAACAAATTTTTTCATTCTGTTGCATAAAACAAGGTGACAATTGAAAGTGACAATTTTTTTCCTGTAATACTGAAAAGACTAATTATTTATTAATAGTTGCTTACAGTTTTTTTTTTGTTAAAATTTCAATAGCTTTATGTTTCATTTTACAGATTTTATTGCATCATAGTTATTCATAAACAATTTCTATGATAAATACGATACTAAATTTTTATCGTTCGTCGTTTTTGCTATTTTACGATTTTAAAAAATTAGAACAAAAAAATTAAAAAAAAAACGCTTTAATTAATTTGTTAATTAACATAATCTTCTTAATCTCAAATAAGTATGAAAGAAAATACAAACAATAAATGACTGAAAACACAACGTCAAATAAGAAATAAACAGAATTGTATTTATTCTAAAATATTATATAATATCAAATTAAAAAAAAAATTCCATTAACATGTTTTTTTTTTTTTTCATAGAAATGATATTAGCAAGCATTTATATGTTTTGTAATAATATGATAAAATATTGTTAAAATGATTGATCAATTAAACAATTCTATCAATCTCTAAATGCATCAAATCAATTTACATACATTAAGGTAATTTGCAGATATAGAAATTTCCATTTAACTTTTAACTTATGGCATTTTTTCCTAATTATATATTTTCATTTTATGAAGTTTTGAATTTTTCCTTTTAAAATATTTCATTTACTTTAGCACTAATATTTAATCAATCTATTATACAAGAATGAGGCTAATGCTAATAATTTTGAAATTTTTATGGTAGCTATATACAATTGTAGTTTACATAATAACCTAAATAATTTTTTTATAAGTTTTTTCTTTCAAAATGTTTTAATAAATCATTTATTTTTCAAAGAATAATTTCTGAATTCACTGTAATAACTTCCAAACAATGTTAAATTTGTTAAAAGAAAGAAAAAGTGAAGTAAAATTTAATTATTTACATATTATCACTCAGTAGCATTTAACATTTATTGGGTGTGAAATTTTAAAAAATTCAAATACGTTGTAACACCGTATAAATTCATCTAGAAATGAATCTTACCATGAATTTACTATTCATTTCATTATATCCTCTATTTAAAGATTTAATTTAAAAAAGAAAATTCATTTAGCAGTTCACTTCAATCTTACTACTATTTAAAAGAATTTGAAAAAATTTATGTATCCTTTATTAAAGCTATGTGGTGAGATATCAGAAGAAGGTAGTAATTGAAATTTATTTCTCCCGGATTATTTGATTATTAATTCGTTATTCAAGATTACTTAATTATTTATTAAAGTTGTTTATTATAATGTGATAGCTAATATGACTAAATGATTAAATGAGTATTAATTGTTTGCTGCAGAAAAAAGATAATAAAAAAATTAAAAGTATGAATGAAAATGGCAAATATTCATTAAAATCGTTTTTAAAATTTAAAAATTAAAATTCGAGAAAAAAATTAAAGCTGAGCTGATATGTGTTTGCTAAAACATTTCGTTTTTTCAAACTTCTGCTGTTTTTCAAAGAAAAAATTCACATTATAATAAGATAATTGGTATAATTAAATGATTATTGAAGAACTAAACTATAAAAAATTATTGCTATCATTTTTCTGATAACGATTAACTGAAAATTATTCCTTATTCTTTTAGCAAAGAACAAAGAATACTACTGATAACAAATTAACGATATCATTACGAACGTTTGCTATTTATTCCTAATTCGATGAATCTCTTCGGCTGCAATAGAATAGTTTTCTAATATTTTTCGTATACTCAGCTATGATTTAATATATTAAAAAAAAAGATGAAAAATCATTATTTAATTTTCTGTTTTAGAAATAATAATACTAAAAGATCTAATATATATATATATATATATATATATATATATATAAGAAATAAAAAAATACTTAATAAAGTTACTAACAGGATTAAATAATAATCTTGAAAATTTCTACATCACTTTCAATTTTTTTAATCTTATTCTATATAATTTTAAATATACCATAACTATATTATGAATATTAATATAAATAAATCAAGTAGTGATATTATCTAAACTGTTACTGGTATTACTTATTAGTAATCTAAGTCAAAAAAAAAAAGTATGGAAATGATTGGATGCTATTAATTCTAAAACAAATTTCAGATGTATTTTCGCGCATTGATATTAGCCTGCTTAATAGTATCAACATATTCAGCAATTTGGAATCTTTTTGGCATGAAAAAATGCATTGGTGGAAAAAGTTTACTTTATTACAATGGATATGGATGTAACTGTGGACTGGGACGAAAATATCAACTTCCAGTTGATGATGTTGACATGTAAATTATTTATTTACTTCAGTTATGGTTAAATACATTTCATGAAATTGTTTATTGAAACTTTTTAAATTTATGCATAAAGTTGTACAAAGTTTTATTTCTTTTCCTGTGATAATTTAAATTAAATTTGAAAAAAAAGAGAGAGAAAGAGAGAGGGAGAGAGCAAAAGAAGGGATGAGCAATAACAATGGTTACTTAATATTGATAATATTATTTAACATTATCATACCATCACTAGGATAAAATCAATTTAATTGGTCAAACATTAGTAGGGAAATTATTGGGACAACATAAAATTGTAGTAATGTGTATTTACTTTCTATTTTAATACTAAACATAAAATTTTCTCATTTTTCTTTTATTTAATTAAGTCATGCTAATTTATTGCTTCGTTTGGAATTTTTTTTTTTTTTCGTTTAAATTTAAAATGAATGTGTACGACTTCCATTCTTTAAATTAAAAAAAAAAAAGGAAATTTTAGTTGTTGCATACGTCACAAAGGTTGCTATAGTGCAGCTGTAGAAAGTGGTGATTGTAAACATTGGATATTACCCTATTTTAGCATTTATAAATGGAAATGCATGGATAAAAATCCCATCTGTAACGGTTTGTTTTCAAAATTAATTATTGCAAAGGGAAAAAAAATGCTTTGCGATGACGTTTATCAAATTGATTAATTCAATGATTTGTGAAAATTAATTTTAAATAATGTCATAAGTTAGGAAAACAATATTAGTTTAGTTATTTTAGCTAAAAAATAAACAAAAAAAAAGACCAAACGTGCTTGAAATATTAATATTGAAGCTATATATGAGTCATTTTAGTTAAGAAAAAAGTGCTAGAAAAAAAAAATGTCCGAAATATTAAAATGAAAGAATTTTTTGAAATTAACTAAGTTTAAAAATATGATAAGAAGTAGATTATGCAATACAATAAATAAAGAAACTATAATTATAACATTTGAATATTATCAAACATTTTTTTTTCTATTTTTTTAGAAGAAGTGAATAATTCAAGGAATATCTGTGCAACAGCAATTTGTGATTGTGATAGCGAATTTGTTAAGTGTTTGGAAGAGAATGATTTCATCAATATGAAGCCAACATGTATGATTGATATGAAGGTGGAACGAAACTTGAAATGAAATGAAATGAAATGAAATGAAATGAAATGAAATGATTAAATGAAATTATTATGGTTAGAAAAAAGAAAATGATTGAAATTACTTAAATATTTGAATAACATATTGTCTATATATATATGTTATGGAATAAAATTGTTATCACATCATATCATGCCATAATCAATATCGAATATGATAACTATTAGATAATAAATTAGTAGAATTATGAATATACAACTATATAAACTGTTACACAAAAAATACTACTGAATTAATTTACTGATTTAAAGTTAAAATTTGATTTAGAGATTCGATAGAAAAGTAATTGTAGGAAGAATTTATCTATGAATACTTTCTATTACTATACACACTGAAATGAGAGGAATCCTCGAAAGATTTGTTTTGCTTTTCTTCCATTGCAGTAATATGTATTTCTGCATGCTTCCATCAGTCTATGAATATATTTTAATTTTCTTCGCCAATTACAAAAGATACAAATGCATAGTACGACTTGATGAGATGCACCAATTGCATAGCGATCCAGAATGGCATAATTTTTTGAATTTTGAAAAAGAATTTTTAACAATGTTTTATTCTCAGCAGATTTGTTCATGAGACTCTACGAGTAAGCTTAAGGATTGCACTGTATCTTGGCCAAGTTCATGAGACTCTACGAGTAAGCTTAAGGATTGCACTGTATCTTGGCCAAGTTCATGAGACTCTACGAGTAAGCTTAAGGATTGCACTGTATCTTGGCCAAGTTCATGAGACTCTACGAGTAAGCTTAAGGATTGCACTGTATCTTGGCCAAGTTCATGAGACTCTACGAGTAAGCTTAAGGATTGCACTGTATCTTGGCCAAGTTCATGATAGTTTATGACCAAGTTCGAAAGTCATATTTTGGTTAAGTTTCGAACTGTCAGTAATCGATTTTTACTTAATTTACGTATTGTATGTGGCATATATGCGTAAATATCGCGAAATTTCTTCCTCTAGTTTATCCATACATTCAGGAATATGTCATCGAATATTGAACTAATATTTCTCGAAATAAATTAATTCATTGTTTGTCATTCGAGGAGGAGGAGGGAAAGAAAGGATGTTATGAAATTTGCATATCTTAGCGCTCATTTAGTCTATTCAAGATGTGTATTGGTTTACTTTCCCGATAGAAATAACCTACGTGTGTATTATCCTTTCTCTTTCCGAGATTATGGATCATATGTGCTGTAGAGCAATTTCTTGATCTCTTATAGCTCAATGTACGGATTATTATTATTTTTTTTTTTTCATTCATTGTGAACTCTTAACACAGCAAAAAATTTGCATATCGATCAGACTCCTTGAGTAGGTTATGTATTCTTAATGGTTTATTTCTCAAATAGTATGATCTATCGTAATGTAAGTTGCTAGACACATTCTGTATTATTTTAGGGAACAAATAGCAAATTTTAGTAACTTTTTTTTTTTAATATTTTTCTCGTTAGGTTATTCTTGCAAGTGTCTTTCTTTACAGAAATACGGGTCTCTTCTTAAACTTTGAATTTATCTCTCATTAAAAGTTTCTAACTCTCTTATTAGATGAAGCAAATATGTTGTTAACTAGTAGGGTGCAATAAGAAAATGAACAATGTTAAGACAGGATTGTTAACTCATCAATGTTTATTATTATTATTATTATTATAGAAGGTATAACTGCTTTCGCTTTATATTTAGTTAAAATTATTTAACAGATGACTTTTTATATATGGATGCTATCAAATTGTGTTTCCATGTCATTTGTTTCAAAAGATGGAATGATGTAGAATGATAGTGTCGTGTAAAATTTCACTCAAAACATCATTTAGTACTAATTAAGAGTGGAAGTCTGGGTTAATTATGACTCTAATTTTGTGTAATGTAGCATGATCTATAACTTAATTTTAGTTTAATATCAATATGAGCTCGAAGAAACCGGTTTTAAAAGAGGTACCTGATGTTGTGGTCAATGCAGTAACGGGCGCTACATATAAAAAGGGAAGATTTTTGGGCAAAGGTGGTTTTGCTCGATGTTATGAACTTACAGACATAAAAGATCAAAGATTTTACGCTGGCAAAGTTGTTTCAAAATTACTTCTACTGAAAAATCATCAGCGCGACAAGGTATGTGATTCCTTTAATGTAATCATTAAACAGTTTCGCTTCCTACATTTCACTTGATCCGATTTCTATATCATCAACAAGGATTAGTGTATGTTGCTTGCAAAACTTATTCTTTCCAGAAGACTGAGATTCAGTTTTTTGAAAAGATTGAGTGCTTTTTCAGATTTAATTCATTTTCACCTGTCCACCAAGCACATTTTTTCTTATTAATCCTAAAGAGTGTTTTATTTCATTCATCCATATCAGATTTTGTCCAGTTATGGAAGTATTTGGTGGACTATTGCAGATGGCTCAAGAGATCCGAATCCACAGAAGTTTGCAGCATAAGCATATTGTGAGAATGGATGGCTTTTTTGAAGATACTGATAATGTCTACATTTTGTTGGAGCTGTGTCCTCGTAGAGTCTGTTTTTTAAATACTACGAAAATTCTGAATTTTCCGTTGGAAATTTAAATTTGAGAATCAAATTTTATCTTTTAATAACATTACTTTTCTTCACTGATTTATTAAATGTATTGTTTATTTCTACTTGAATTTATATATCTTTTATAATTTATACTTGAATTTATATATCTTTTATGATTTATATATCTTATTGCAAGAGCTAATTTTGCTTCATTTTTAACTTACAATTAATATATTTTAGTCTTTGATGGAACTACACAAACGTCGAAAACATGTAACAGAACCGGAAGCACGTTATTTCACGAAGCAGGTAAACAAACCTAACTAGCAATGGTCATGTTCATTTCATGTGATTTGATTGCCTCACAGTGCAGTTAGCACGCTTATCAGTTGTTTCTATTTAATGCAAATGAAATGAAAAAAATGAAGGATTAAGGTGATTTGTTCGAATTTCGCTACCAACCGCTTTTAAGCGTTTTTTTTTTTTTTTTTTTTTTTTTTTTTACAGATTGTTGAGGCGTGCGAGTATCTTCATAAAAATAAAATCATTCATCGAGATTTAAAATTGGGGAACTTATTTTTAAATGAAGAAATGGAGATTAAAGTTGGTGATTTTGGCTTGGCGACAGTGGTTGAGGTAGATGGCCAAAGGTTTGTTTGGAAAACCTTAAAAGCATATTGAAATTAAACGACAACTTAACATGCATTTAACTGCTGTTATCATTCCTCTTTCAAGAATCTGTTCCAAAATAATTTCCTTCTTACATGTTGCCATTAGTGAAATGAATTGGTGTGGAGAAAAGTTAGGAGTGGTAAATTCGCCGTTGTCTTCATCCCGTAAAATATTTGGTTTTTTGCTTTTCAAAGTGCTTATTTAACAGGAAGAAAACTTTATGTGGTACACCTAATTACATCGCACCCGAAATGCTCGATAAAAAAGGTCATTCCTATGAAGTAGACATCTGGGCAATTGGCTGTATTCTGTACACATTATTGGTGGGAAAACCGCCGTTTGAAACTTCTTCTCTTAAGGTATTTTGTCGTTGACATAATAATAAATTTAGAATATAGGATATTTAAATATCCTGTATTCCTCGAACACTGGAAAAACATTTATTATTTTAGGATACTTACAACAGAATAAAGAACAACAATTATTCAATACCAGGTCGTATTAGTGACGAAGCTGAACAGCTCATTCGACGATTACTGCAAACTGATCCTGAAAAACGTCCTACTATTCATGAGGTTTCTACTTTTAGCTATATCATTTCCTTTTTAGCAGTGATATCTAACAACTTTATCATTCAGTATCATTTATAGATTTTTGTTTGTGTCTTGAAATGGGTGAAGATTAATAGAAATGACCAGTCCCGTATATAATGTGGTAAATTAGGTAATATGACATTTATTCAAATCTTAATTAAATTACATCATGCTTGTTCGACTCCTAACCACTGTCCAGAAAAAAACTAACTTTATAAATTAATTTTCACTGATTTATTGATTTCAGGTGTCGTATTACGCATTTTTTAAAGGTTATACTCCAAGCAGGCTACCGACATCATGTCTTACAATGGCGCCCAAATTTGCGAATACGGAAATTCCGGATAAGCGTTCTGCTCTAAACGAATTGAGACAGGAAAATATTATAATTAGCCCGAAAGAACGCGTGCGTAAGGTACAAATTAAAGCTGCAATTTCTGGTCTTTTTGAATTTGTTGTTGTCTACATCGATTTAATGAGTCTGAATTTACAGGATCTCTTAACAGTGCCGGTTCGCCCGTTGACTTCCGTTCCCGAGTTGCAGATTGTTTCAAATACGAAGCATCGTATTTATGAGCCACGCAGTAAGTCCCGTTTAATACGTGTTAAAAACCAGTAACAATAACAAGTCTCAGATGAAAATAAACAATTGTAATAATTTACACTAATTCATTTAATAAAAATAATTACCAGCATACTCAAAACAGAAAAGCAGTAAAATATTCACTAAGAGTTGGCTTATCTGTTTTGACACTAACAGAGTCACATTCATGTATTCTTCAGGACTTCATCTATTGAAGTATTCTTATTATGATTGATGGGTTTCAATAATGAATATTGAACTGAAAGACTTATTTGGTATTTACTGTGTTGATTTATAGAACTGTCAGTTCGCTGAGGACTTACAGTGCTAAATTTACTGTTAAATGAATCCTTATTTCGTTCGCAAATTTACTATTTTATCCAATATTATTGAATTAAATAAGCTATATTCTTCTTGGCAAAAGTACTTCCTCTTGAAACTTTCTGAAATCTATTTTTTTTTAGCATTATAAATGTCTGCTCTTGCAGTACGACAGGATGTAAAAATTTATTTGAGTATGAGTAGAAGTTTTTTCTCCAACGCTGCAATTAAGCTATATATTGCAGTAGGTCTTCATATTCGAATAAGAAAAGAAGGTTTTGTAAAGTTTTGCAACTCTATACTTAAATGGAATGAAGATTATTTTACTTCATTGCGATGGCGTCTGCATAAGTAAAAAGCATTAATAGAGTAAAATTGATGAGTGGAATTGTTGAAGAATAATGTCGAAATTATTTGGAATAAATTATTTTCAGCGACGGGGACAGGGATATCGTATGGGTCTGGTGATCATCCTCTTGATTGTTATTTGTCAGATTTGTGTAGGCAGCTGGCGGAAGTTGTTAATAGTATGCCAAAAGAAAATCCAAATATTCGAGATGGTAAGTTATCTATTGAATTAAGTTTTCAATTCCAATTTCAGCAAATGATTCTGTATTATTCATATTCTTTTAGATGATGTGGAGGATCCTGCTGCTATGCCAGTCTTCTGGATCTCAAAATGGGTTGATTATTCAGATAAGTATGGATTGGGTTATCAACTTTGTGATAATTCTATTGGCGTTGTGTTTAACGATAACACGAAAATGGTTCTGGATGCAGCAGGAGAGTGAGTTTGCTTTAATTTTTTTGTTAAGCACTGTTATTGAAGACGTCTTAACTTCGTACTGTATCATTTGTTTTGGCTTATTCTTTCTAATATTTTTGCTTGCAAAACAACGACATTTCTTTAATTTTAATCCAAAGTTTGCAATTTCAATTTAGGTTTTATAATTTAGGCAAGTGCAATATCTGGGACGTGAAAATGACGAACATTATTACACTGTAAAGCATTATCCTGAAAAACTGCAAAAAAAGATCACTCTACTACAATATTTCAAAAACTATATGTCTGAGCATTTGCAAAAAGCTGGTGCTGACATGCCTATACGTGAGGGTGATGAATTAGCTCGTTTACCTGTTCTTCGTATTTGGTTCCGAACGCAATCCGCTATCGTTCTTCATCTGACCAATGGAACGCTACAGCTTAACTTTTTTGAAGTGAGGAAAGTTTTCATGTTTTAAATCTTTCATTTGAGAACTCGATTAGCATGTTAGCAAAACTCAGACATGAATTTTCCCAAGAAATTTGTGTCTCAAACTTGCATATATCTGAAGTGAAAATTCGAGCTGCATGCTTCATTCATGCTAGGCAAAGTTTCAATCCTTAGCTAGCCAAACTGACTATGTATTAAGGATCATACGAAGCTCGTAATCTGTCCGTTGATGGGAGCTGCGACATACATCGACAGCGAACGCAATTTTCGTGTCCTCAAACTTGCTGCGCTTGTTAAGTATGGATGTCCAAAAGCGCTTCTGTAAGTTCATTCTCTTGTAGTATTTTAAATTCCTGATTAAATGGGATTGGGTTGGATGTTGACGAAGTGTTGTAGCTGAAGTGTTTTTTTTTTTTTTTTTTTTTTTTTTTTTCGATTTTTTTGAATGTAAGTTGAGATTCTATAGAAATCGAAATGAGTTCCATTCTCAGAATCGAAATTGCATTCCATTCGTAGAACACGGTTGTTTGTAACAGAGCTATATGTAGGAACTGAATCTTCTAGTCTTTTAAAAAAATAAATTAGTAATTAAATTATTTTGTAGCGATCGTTTACGTTATGCGAAGATGATGGTAGAACGATTGATGTCTGCACATTCTGCTCGACCATTTTCATCAGTGCTTACGTCAATGGCACGTCATCCTTCGAATATTGCTGGCAATTAGTGAAAGAAGCAAAAATTTATTTTTATTTTTTATAGAAGTTGAAGACGTTTAGAAAATTTTAATTATCTTTTAATAGTACTAATAGAATTAGCCAACATTTATATGCTACTAAAGCTTGTCATTTTTATGCAAGCTATTCGCATTATACTTATCCATTTTATAACGCCATAAATTGTACTTTTATTGCACTGAAATTATTACTGACTGTAGCCAGTAGACAACACAAATCTTGGGTTTAGTAGAAAAAATCTTAAGACCTTCACCTGAAATATTGATTAAATTTTTGAAAGTAGAATTTTGTGACTCCACCACTTTCTTTCTAGCAAAAAGATCTGCTAAGTTCTTGGTGAAATAGTGAAATTTATTTCTCGATCATTTTGAAATTATGATGATAGAGGCGTTTTTCTTTCTCCCATGTAAGCTTTGGTTCTTCATTGACTTCTTAACTTTACCTATTTTTAAAATGTATGGAGTGAAGCAATTTTTTATCTGATTAATACTGCTTGCTTAAACTTATATACTGTTCTCATAGAGAAAAAGGGATGTTTCTTTTTTTCTCTTGTTTTTTTTTTGTTTGTTTGTATGACGGATTAAATAGAATTGACTTTTATTTTCCAAGAAAATTCTTGTACTATTTCAAATAGTAGTATTAAAATTTTGATCCCAAAAAAATTTTGTGAACTCGCCATAATTTGGTATATACTAAAGCATTTACTGGAAAATAAGTAAGTAGTCTTATTTATTTTCCAGGGACGTTTCTTTTTTTCTCTTTTTCTTAATATGGAAAAAATCATAGAAAATCAAGCTAAAGCATTTATTATCTAAACATAAATGCTCAATGTAATCTTAATGGAAAATATTTTTAACACATTAGTTGATATTGCCTTAAAGTTTTACCACATTTAACGTTTTTTTTTTTTTTTTTTTATTTCTTCCATCTAAATAACGCTTATTTTTATTCGGTTAATTACATGCTTATACTTTTCTTTCATTTTTTTTTTTTTTTTTTGATGTTATATGATGATCAATTTGCTAACTTTTATTGTTGCAGAATGTTGACATAAATTTGTCAGTTATTGCTATTATTATCATATGTACTTTTGCTTTTTCAACGTATAAGAATAACACGATTACAACATCAACAAATTACTTTCAATTACGCAATGGAATATTCGTATTAAGGAAGAGTTTTGCGTAAATGTTGGAGGAAGATTACATATTGCGCTTTTTTTTTTTTCAAAATTTCCGCTATTTTAGGATAATAAAAAATGAGGTGAAATTGCTTTTTCATCATTCTTTCCAAATAATCTCTTTGATGTTTCATTTATAAATTGTAAATTTCAATGTAAAATGATGAAAAACATTTGTATAAAATAGCTTTTGATGAGTATATTTCTTTATAGACCATATAGTATCATTAATAAGTCATTTTCCGCATTTTTTCCCCAATTTTCTAGAGTTTTCTCTATTTTTCTAGTGCATTTGAAATTATTTCGATATTAAGAAATTCCATTATGCACAAAGTTGAGAATATCCAAACTTTTTTGCAGTCACATGATAAATCAATCAGCAATGATTACGATTCAGTATTTCGACCGTAAAATTTAGACAGTTTATATATTATCTACCAGTTGAAGTTTATATCAGAGATGATTTCTTGTACTCTAAATAATTTGTATTTTCGATTTGATTATATAAGTGCTAATCACTTTTATTTGATTGGTTAATATTCATTGATTATAGAAGCAAAAAATTGCAACAACGATAGATATATGACAGTGAGTGATAAAGAAGCTATGAGTGACAGCTGATAATAATTTATAGTCCATACAAAAATTGATTTTTGAAATGAGCAAGGATGTATATAAACATAAGAAAGGTGAAATAAAGAGGAAAGAGATAAGGAAATAAATATATTTAATAACTGCATTTCATGAACGAAGAAATTATCACATTTATCTTTGCTTTATGTCAAAGACTGCTGGCAGGTGCAAGGTGCAACGTATATTGCAAAAATAATCTGAAAAAATATTGAGAAAAGAAGTTTGGATAATTTTTTTTTTCACTCAGAAGAGAAGATAATATACACACACAAATGTTTAAAAGGTACGAAATAAAAAAGATTAAAAAAACTAAATTCAAAATTTTGTATAAATATAATAAGAAAAGTCAAAAAAACAAGAAAATCTGAAACTAAAAATTTTAATAATTTCGTTCTTTTTTTTCTTTTGAAGGAATATAATACATTTATGACATATTAAAGAAAAAAAGAAATAAAGTACCACAGTAATAATAATATTAAAATTATTATTTATCTCTTTTTTCTTTTTTTTTAATTGATAATTGCTTAATACTAGTTATTATTAGCAAACAAAAAAAAAAATTCTTTTTTTAATTTAAATTTGATTAATTAATGAAAAGAAAAGAAGTGGAAATGAATTGGATTAATTAAAATAAATTAATTTTAAAATAAGTCCCTTAAATTTATCAAAACTAACAAAATATATCAAAATGACAGTTGTGAACAATGAAAGAGAGTTGATGAGAGAGCGAATATATAAGAGAAATGAGGAAAAGAAGGGTAAGCAAAGAATATTTGATACACACATAATATTTCAATAAACTAAGACCGCTTTTGACTTTTACCGCCCAAAGAAGTATGCCGTCTTGTTAAAGGTAATAGACATAGGTCAATAAGATTAGCTTCACCTTTGACATCTGTTAACGGTTGTTAACAATTATAGTAGCCGAGAGAGGGAGGGAGAGAGAGAGAGGTAAACTACTAAGCATTGATAATATATCAGCTATCAGCTATATCTCACCTGGATGAACAAGAATAACTAACCGTTGACAATATATCATTCTGTCACTTAAATGAATATGAACAAGCATTATTACAACATCATATTAATTCTGATATTCAATACTGTGTAATATATCTGATGGATGTCAATTTTTTTTTCACGTAATGTTAAAAATTAAAACGTGTAAACAATTTATTAATAGATTTGTTTTTCTTACGCAATATTGGAAATTGAAACATGTAAATAATGCATTAGTGTAATTGAATGTTGAATAGAGTTAAGCATAATAAAGTTTTATCAAAATTTAAAAGTATTATATCTTCATAAATATTAGTACTAATGAGATGAAATGTTTTAAAATTTAAATGCACCTTGTAGAATTTTTCATTTATTTCAGTTAAGAATTTCAGTTAAAATTTAATTGTTCTAATGTGCATTCATTGATAATTATATGAAATAAAAAGGTTATGCATCGATCTGATAAGATATTAATGGATCATTTTACAAAAATCGTTGTTTTTCTTCTCATTTTTTAACTACAGTCTTATTTATTTATTTTTTTTTTTTTTATTCAACACCGCCAATTTTATATATTCGCCGACAAATAATGATTGATTTGGATAACTGATAAGTTAGTCAATCGTATCGTTTTATTGGATTTGTTAAGGTTTGAAAATATGTTATTTGCGATCGGTAAATTTTTATTTAGCAAAAAGGCAATTCGCTCTTTTGACGTGTAAAAGATGAATGTTAAAATTTACCGACTTTTTATTAAGGAATTCATTAACGATTAGGGTTATCAGAGGTCATCCAGAAAATGAATATTTGATCTGCCATTGCAATAAATCGCTATATTCTTTTATATTTCAAAATTATTCCCTTTTTTACACAAATATATTTAACTTTTTAATAGCTATCTAAATGTTACTTTTACTTACTTATTTAATAATTAACTTCTGTAGTGGAAATAAATCAAATATTTGATTATTTCATTGTTCTAATTTGATCTGCACTTTTTTTTTATCTTAGTTCATTATTTACTTTTTATTGCAAGTTCAATTATTTGCATAAATTTACTACTGTTAATTAATTTTATCTATCTGTTTAATCCAAAAATTTTTTTTTATTAAAACATTTTTTTAATACTTTTTTTAAAAGGAAAAAGGTTCTTTTTAACTTTTTTTATTTCATTATTATCATAATGAAATAAGTTGACTGAGAAATACTTAAAACTATATTTGCCACTATGTAATCATATTATTATCATAATTAGATGATACTAATGCGAGAAATATCATTCATTTAGGAAATACTTTTATTGCTTATCTTCTATACCGGAAATGGCATTAATTATGATAATATTACCTTCCTGAAATAACATCGACTATAAAAACAATTCTTCTACTTCAAATATTATTAATGCTGTAACATGTCCGCTTTTCACCTCTCTCTTAACCCCTATTCCATTTTCAAGCAATATTTATAATACAAATGTAAAAACGAGGAAGTGAGAGGTGCATGAACTTTTGATGACCTTCAAGAAAGATTCCATTAATCAATCAATCATTATCTAATGCAAATTTTATCTTCCGGTCATAAATCCTCAAAAAATAAACGGTTAGCATTAATTTAATTCCAAATACCTTATCATGTTACCATCATTTATCATTAATTATCTCTTCTTAGTATTATTTTTGCTATGCAAATAACACCAACAATGTTCTCAAATAAATTTTTTTCACGCAAAAAAATAATAAAATTTTAACAATTCTAACAACTTTTATTTTTAACAACATTATGTATACTTTTTCTTTGTTTTTTAATTCATAAATTAACTTCTTTTGTGCTATCAATATATTGTATAAGTAATAGAATATTGATTAGAAATTGCCCATTCTTTCATATATTTTCAAATAAACAATTACTAAATTTGGATATTTGCGCATCTGATCTGATCTGATCTGATCTGATGCGTTCAATCAATAGTGCATAAAATGAGTGTATTTACAATATTTTTCATCCAACACTCAAATACTTCAAATGTAAAATATTTTTATTTCAAGAAAAAAGCAAATTTCATCTAATTTATTTGCTTTATTTTCATTACAAAATTCTTGGCTCTAATTTTTGCTTTAAGTAATTTAATTTTATTGTGCTAGAACTGTGTTTGACAATTTTTAAGGTTGTTATATACTA